CTCTCAGGCAGATCGCTTCACGTGGTGGTGGACGGTGTATCGTCTGATACCATTGGCATCAATTCCGGCGTTCCACAAGGATCAATTTTGGCACCAACATTATTCCTGCTTCATATAAATGATCTGTTGGGAGTAACAACTTGCCCCATCCACAGCTTTGCAGATGATAGTACCCTCCATACTGCGTTCTCTTCCAGAATTCCCATTTCTTCCCAGGAAACTAAGAACTCACGGCGCAAGCAGGTCAATGCTGTCAATGAAGATCTTGCTGAAATCACAGCCTGGGGAACAAACAACCTAGTTGAATTCAACGCCACCAAAACTCAAGCCTGCATTTTCTCTAGAAAGGCGGAACTCAGTATGCCCGATATTGTAATGTCTGGCTCCACCATCCCCACCAAGCCCACCATATCTATGCTCGGTATTTCCATCAGCAACACTCTTTCATGGGATAATCATGTCAGATCCATCGCAAAAGCTGCTTCACAAAAACTCGGATTCCTGTTCCGTGCGAAAAGCTACTTTACACCTCAACAGCTTCTCATGATCTACAAAGCGCAGATACGGCCTGTTCTAGAGAATACTGTTCCCACATATGGGGTTCGGCACCAAAACATACGCTGATGCTCTTAGATTCCATCCATTCGCCTGGTGGGTGACGCCACACTCACTCACTCTTCGACATCATTGGAACACCGTAGAAAGGTCGGCGACCTTTCACTTTTCTATCGATACTTCCACGGGAAATGTTCTTCGGAAATCTCTGCTATCATCCCTTCACTAGCAATACCTATCAGACGAACTAGACAAGCCCAGTCAGCACATCCTTTCGTTGTGAACCTCGAAAGATGTCGAACATCACTTTATCAAGACTCCTTCATCCAAAGAACAGCTAGGCTCTGGAATTCATTGCCTGTGGAAGTATTCCCAACAACATTTAATCTCCAAAAGTTCGAAAAAAAATCCAATACCTACCTCCTGTCCCTATCCTCCCTAGGAACGCACGATGTTCTTTGAACATTATAGGGATTCCCTTTCGTGCGCTCCAAGCGATAAAAAAAAATTCCGGCGTTCCACAAGGATCGCACTTTCGGATCCAACATATTGTTCCTACTTCATATCGATGATCTGTTGGGAGCTACCACTTGCCGTATCCACAGCTTTGCAGACGATAGAACTCTCCATATACTGAGTTCTCTTCTAGAATTCCCACTTATTTCCAGGTAACCAAGAACTTACGACGACGGCAGGTCAACGCTGTCCATGACGACAAATAACTACCTATAGGGTACCAAAAATCTAGATCAATTCAACGCCACCAAAAATATACCCTGTATTTTTCTCTATAGAGGGACAGAACTCAGCATGTCTGATATAACAATGTCTGGAACCAGTATTCCTACCAAAACCACTATATTTATGCTATAAAGGTATTTTCTCTTTCATGGAACGATCATGTTCGATCCATCGCGAAAGCAGCTTCGCAGAAACTCGGATTTTTATTCCGTGCGAAAATTACTTTACACCTCAACAGCTTCTCAAGGTCTGGTGGGTGATGCCACACTCAACAATTTTTTTTGACATCACTTGAAGACTGTTGAAGAGGCGGCGACCTCTCACATTTCAATATAAGTTCTTTTACGGGGAATGATCTCAAGAAATCTCTCCAATCATTCCATCGCAATACCACTCAGACGAGCTCGACAATCTCAATCAGCACATCCCTTCGTCGTAAACCCTAAGATATGCCGAACAAATCTTCAACAATAATTGTTTGCCTATATAGAACGACGAAGCTTCGGGATTTTTTGCCAATGGAAATATTCGTAAGATCCGAAAGATCTAAACAAATTTCAATTTCTACCTCCTCGTTCCTGGGTACGCACGATGATTTCCAAACATTGAAGGGATTCCCTTTCATGCGCCCCAAGAGACAAAAAAATTAATAATGACAGCTTATTTTGAAAATCTGACTACGCCACTGGATTCTACGTGAAGAAATGTATGAGAAACTGTTTTCACTTCTTCTGTAATTTGAAAGATAGCTGAGATACAGGAGTGGTCCGAAAATGCAACATTTAAAATTTCTCCTTGTATCCCAAAAACCAAGCAGGCTATGAATATTTCGTTTGCGGCATCGTGAGTTCCACAGAAAAGTTGCAGAAACCGCAGATCTCCTTCTTGAATAATGAGTGAGGTATCCCGTGAGGACATCGGAAATGGGACAGCTTGTACATAATATAATTATGAAATGATGTTGCAGTATTTCACAATTATTTCATTCTCGAACATTCTGAGATTGCCGTGTACAACTTTAGTTTCGATTGTTTATAGACAAACTTGCTGTTTCTGTGAAATCATTGCACTTTACTGTCGAGCAGCGACATCTCTGAGTCTCTGCCTGAACTATGGCGTGTCGCTGCAGTGCAGTTTTCTGTATCATCTGAATCTCATCCTGACGGGATACAATCCGATGATTTACCGTCCGATAGAATACGGTGTCGACGAATTACGGTTTCTATGAGATACGGTGCTGCTAAATTACCAATTCTATGAATGTTCATTATGATAGATTAACGTTGATGAAATACGGGTCTGATAAATTATCATTCCTATGGAATACGAATCCGATGAGATACTTGTTCTATAAAATACGGGTTTGACACATTACTGTTTCTATAAAATACGGATATGATAAATTATTATTTCTATGAAATACGGGTCTGACAAATTACAGGTTCTATGAAATACGGATATGATGAATTACCGTTTCTATGGAGTACGGGTTTGATGAATTACTGATTCTATGAAATACTGATTTGATAAAATACCGATTCTATAAAATACGGTTTCTATGAAAAGTTGTTATGACCAAATACGATTATGATGGTTTATTGGTTCGATGAAATACGGTTCTGACGAATTACGGTTTCTATGGAATACGGGTATGACGAATTATCGTTTCTGATGGAATACAGTTCTGATAGATTACCAATTCGATGAAGAACTAGTACGATAGACTGATGTTGCGACAGAATACGGATTTGATAAACTACTGCCTCGATAGAATATAGTTCTGATAAGATACAGATATGATAGAATAATGACTCGTTTTAATACCATTTCGACATAAAACTGTTTGATGATTTACGTGTTGAAATTTTATATTTCGATGAAGTACGGCCCGATGTTTTACAATTTGATATTTTACGGTTCTACAGAATACAGTGTCGATTCTATACTATTTTGACGATTTACCAATTCGATGAAATATTTTTCTATGGATTTGAATTCGATACTTTATATTTTGACACATTAGGTGTCCCCGTGGAGATGATGGCCCCAGAGATGGCCAGACAAGCCTATATCTGTATTGTTCTCAACCATCATCCGGTTGCCCCCTTACCAGCAATCTTTCAGAAGTCTTCGAGATACTTGTGTGAGCAAGGAATGAGGGGGCTTACCTCACAACGTGTGATCCCAAACACCTTTTTAGGCCATCAAGAAAATTATGCAGTCGTGTGGATCGAACCCACCAACCAGCAACCCATTGTGAATAGAATACTGACGCTTCAACTACGTGGTTAACCTGGTCTCCTATATGCTAGAGAGCTTTCCTTGTGTCGTCCGCTGTGAGGCCCTTGGCCTACAAGCAATCGCCTCATATGTGATCATTGGCTTGAACCTCATCACATATATCCATTGGATTTGTTTGGGTCCTGAACTTCAAGATTTTCCGCAGATCATTCGAAAATGTCCATATGGGTAATTTAGTTTTGTGGAGAACCTCTTTCAAGTGATTGTTGCACGTGATCATACCTATATATTTCACTTTCGCTGCGAATGGAATTATCTCACCATTGTAGGAAAGTGGACTTAGAACATCCACCAGGTTCTTTTTCCTAATGGGGGGTACTATTACAGTTTTGCTCGGGTTGACAGACATCTGTTTTCTGTGGCACCAACTGTGGACATCGTCCAATGTACCTTGGAGGATATTAGAGGCTACCCTTCCAGTCGTGTTCCTTGCCAGATTGACAAGGTCGTCTGTATAAGCTCGAAGCTCCACCCCTCTTCGGTAGAGGACATTGAACAAACTGTTCATTAGAAGTGGCCTCAGGAGGGTGAATGGCACCCCGCCTTGTGGACATCCCCTCGAGACCATCTTGAAGATATTGTAGTAGCTGTCTTCTTCATGAGCATCGCGTAGATTCAACTAGTGATGTGTTAGGTATTTCATTCAATATCATCTACATCCCACTTCTGAAGTGATAGAAAATGCCCCTTTTAACGACGGCAGTATTCATTAATATGATCAAAACACATAATATTTTCATCAGTGATAGAAAATACCCCTTTTAACGACGGCAGTATTTATTAATATGACCAAATAACATCACATATCCCTCTCACGCACAGATTCAACCTTTCGATGATTGACAAACCGAATTCCTTAATAATATCTCAAAAGTGACATCAGCTCTCAAATATATCATAATACGGGATGTCGTAAATGATATTGAATAATATACCTAACACTCCCTTTCTGACACTATGAGTGTCGTCACTCATCCATCTCTCATGCGTCCATCTCTCATTCATGATCATCTACAACATCCCATATTTTTATATATTTGAGATGACACTTTTGAGTTATTATTAAGGAATTCGGTTTGTACATCAACGGAAGATTGAATGTGTGCGTGAGAGGAATATTTCAAGTATTTTGGTCATATTAATAAATACTACCGTCGTTGAAAGGGGTATTTTCTATCAGATGGTTGGTTCAATGTCCTTTTCAGCTGAAGTGGGTCCGATAGAGTTTGGCAACGCAGTCAATTATCTGGATAGAGAACTTTTCTAGATGTCATAGAAAATTGTATATGACAGAGAGCACATTATTGTCCATTCATTCGAATAAATAATATAGAGAATTGTAAGGCCACCACAAGTTGACTAGGGAAATTCAGGTTACTGACACAGTGTATATATTGTTTCAGGTTCCTAGAGAGGAATGCTTTCATTTACGGCCTGTTGGCACCAAGTTGCATCATAGTTGTGAGCACATTCTACTACCTTGTGTGTTCGGGCCTTCTAGCGAGCTACATTATCAGTATGCAAGCGGATATTCGCACTAGAGAGAAAATGCGGAAGAAGCGGGCACTTCAGATACTACTTTTCTCGAAGGTGAGATTAGGTTACCAAAGTTCCAATATAACGAATCCAACAATTCACGCACGGGTTAGTATTTCCATTTCAGCATAAAAATCGATGTTTCTGTTTGTCCCTATATGCGGAATATCATCAATTCATATTCCTGTTTCTGTAGTTATGTTATGTTTGAGATTTTATTTTCTTTTTAAACAAACTTTCAATTTGTGTCATGCATGTACCAATCAGAATATTATTATAATGGTAATAATCTACTCACATTATAGCTTCCAGAATATATTATAATATGGAAAATGAAGATTTTATCGATTCGACAAAATTATATACAGGGTGCCCGTTTTTCGAGCTCCACCATGGAGATCTCGGTTATTATAAAGAGATACCAGGTCGGTTAAATTAGGGTAAAGTTGAGCATTTTCATGCTGAACAATAATCTGCGAAAAATTGGATGTCTCGTTTTTAGTTTTTGAAATATTGGAAGAAAACGAAAATCTTCATTTTTTTTACAAGGAATCTGAATCTATAATCGTGTTTTTCATGTCGTTATTCTTGATGCCAAAGTACAATACCACCTTGTGTGTTCGGGCCTTCTAGCGAGCTACATTATCAGTATGCAAGCGGATATTCGCACTAGAGAGAGAATGCGGAAGAAGCGGGCACTTCAGATACTACTTTTCTCGAAGGTAAGATTAGGTTACCAAAGTTCCAATAAAACGAATCCAACAATTCACCTACGGGCTAGTATTTTCATTCCAACATATAAATCGATGTTCCTGTTTGTCCCTATATGCGGAATATCATTAATTCATATTCCTGTTTCTGAAGTTCTGTTATGTGTCAGATATTATTTTTTTATAAACAAACTCTCAGTTTCGGCCATGCATGTACATCTCAACCAATCAGAATATTATTATAGTGGTAATAATCTACTCACATTATAGCTTCCAGAATATATTCTGAGGAAGGTACATTTCATCGATTCGACATAATTATATACAGGGTGCCTGTTTTTTGAGCTCCACCATGGAGATCTTGGTTATTATAAAGAGATACGAAGTCGGTTGAATTATGGCAAACTTGAGCATTTTCATGCTAAACAATTATCTGTGAAAAATTTGATGTTTCGTTTTCAGTTTTTGAATTATTGGAAGAACACGAAAATTTTCATTTTGGTTTTTATTTCTTCAAGCGAAAACTGAATGACATACAGAGTGACCCATTTGAAAGCGGGCCACCCCTGTATCTCACGTAATCGTTGGGTAAGGATCATGAAATTTGCTGGAGCGAGAGATATACCAAAAATGCACTCTATAACCAAGTGGGGTCATTTTCAGTGATATACACTGCTTGCCAACAGCCATGGAACCACCCCAATTTCCTGAAAATGATATTAGGAGTCAAAATAGGTTGAAAATCACTTCGGATTCGGAATCAGGACGCCCAATTCACTAACTATTCATATTTTTCCTTGAAAATTTTCAGTTCTGAAACATTACATTTTGTCGCACTTTTCATGAAAGCGCACCCCCGTATCTCACGTAATTATTGTGGTAGGGTTCTAAAATTTGCAGGAGGAACGGAAAGTCCAAAGATGAAGTCAATTACGTGAGATACGGGGGTGCTTCCGTGAAAAGTGCGACAAAATTAAATTTTTCAGAACTGAAAATTTTTAAGGAAAAATATGAAGAGTTATAGAATTGGTCGTCCTGATTCCGAATCCGAAGTGATTTTCAACCTATTTTGACTCCTAATATCATTTTCCGGAAATTGGGGTGGTTCCATGGCTGTTGGCGAGCAGCGTATATCACTGAAGATGACCCCACTTGGTCATAGAGTGCATTTTTGGTATATCTCTCGCTCCAGCAAATTTCATGATCCTTACCCAACGATTACGTGAGATACAGGGGTGGCCCGCTTTCAAATGGGTCACTCTGTAGACGTTTCTGTCAGAGACACTCTCAAGGCACTTTTCCACAAGGAATCTGGATCTATCATCGTATTTTTCATGTCGTTATTTTTTATTCCAAAGTACGATACTCAACATTGTTTTTGCTAATGGGCGCCATATTGGAATTTTGCATTTTCGAAAACTTTTTTTTTTCCTGATAACAATGATGTGTATTACACGAGAAAAATATTTTTGCGAAGTGTGCTTTGGAAAAAACGACAACAATTTCGTTTAACAAACTGAATTTATCGAAAAGGATTATTCTCAGATATATTTATGAACACAAAAAAATGTATATACATATATTAGAAGAAATACATTGAGAATTCGCATTCTCCATGTGATGAAAATATTAATTCGTTCTCGGTTTATTCAATAGAAAACAACTACTTTCCTGGCTATATGCCACGACGAATATTGAATTACATCTATTGAACACACACGATAAGAATTTGAAAACAAAATCTTCTGAAGTAAAGAATTTGCATTCTCCTTCATATAAAGATATCCATATAATATTCTGAATATTCAACAGAAAACAACTACTTTCCTGACTATTTGCCACGTCGAACATTAAATTATATTATTTATCCATTCGTTTGTGTTCATAAATATATCTGAGAATATTCCTTTTCAATACTTTCACCCAATCAAGGGATTCAGACTTGAAAGATGGAAACTTGTTATTTTTATAGACTTCAATCGCAGATTCGTGATTAGGTTTTCTCAATTCGAATTCTTTTTCACATCCTGTTTGATGAATATCAATTTATCATACATCCAAAAACTGAATTTAGACATTTTAATTGAATTTGGATCTGAAACGTTCACTTTTTCGTCAAGCTCACCTACTCAAAAACTATGGTTTTGAATTAGAAACGACGTAATTAAAGATGCTCGAACACTGCACCTTCCACTTCTAAACACATGCAATTCTACACGTTGCCTCAGATTCTGTATTGCTCGCGAGAAGTCTTCTTAACCCATTAGTGCATGAAGTTACTTTTTTTCAAATCACTATATTCTGAAGATGTTTACTCATTCAAATATATCCAAAGAATGATAACTCATGACGAATAACTTTTTTTTACAACAGATTTTTTTTATATGACACGTCCATTTTAATGGACTCTATGCAAATTGGTTCATTGATGAAAGTAATCAGTAGGGAATTTCAGTATTCATTTTTATTCAAGTACATATCCAGAACATGAAAAACTCAATAACATCAATCACTATATTATCAATAATAATAATAATGATGATAATAATAATGTAAATTATACATCATGATGACTTGATACATTCTGAAGCATCTCTCAGATGCAGTCCTATTTTACATATAAAATTGCAATTTTGTCTCTACTGAATGGAATTCAGCTGATGGGTATATGAAAATGCATCATATCAAGAAAATATTTTGGATGATACTTCCAGAGCTTTTTTCGGTGCTCCTCACACGATGAAAGGAAGGAAGTGGAAGTGGAAGGAAATGTGAACCCGCTGAAGAAAAAGAGGAGTCGAACGAGTGGATGGAGTCGTGTCTATAGTTGACGTGCTGCAGTATAACGTACAATCATTTGATACTATGATATTGCTTTTCATAATGCAAAGATGTATATTATTTTCAATTCCATCAAAATCAGGATCAGAATAACGAAAGTCGCACGGCTGTTTGATAATTCCTATAGAAATATGATTTATCATGGATTCGCAATTTCTAAATTCGAATAACTGCATTTCTGCCAACTCTTCTTCTGGAGGCAATATAATATATGATTATCTGTTGGTTGATCGATATCTGAGCCATTTTCCATTTGTCTAAGAGGTCTTGCAAGAATGATCTACAAAAAAATCTTGATGACCGATATGCATAGAGTCCATTATAATGGACACAACACAAAAGCAATATTTTGAGTGTCTTACAAAAAAAATAATCATTCGAATTACCTTATAGGTTCATAAACACATGCATATAATGAGATCTTGAGGGATAGGAAATTCTGGAACTTATTATACTCCGTTATATAATAAATACTTACCCTCCTTGTCGGGTGCAATACAAATTGTTATCCATTTGATCACGTGCAGAATATTGTCGAGATACAAATTCATGAAATAGAAGCGATGGTTGTTTGTTGTTGAACTACACTTATAGTTCTGGCGCATGAAACATTCAATTCCTGCATGATTGACGTCACAAAAAATTAGACAAGGAGCGTCCATTATAAGACACATTATGCACTAATGGGTTAAGCATTCTTCACAAAAATGACCTTTTCCCAATTTTGATCAACACGTAAGATTCAATCATATCGTGTGATACATCATTGTAATCAGAAAAAGATAGACTTTTCAAAATTGCAAAAATCTGATATGGCACCCATTAGAAAAAACGAAGTTGGATGTTGTAACTTTGGCATCGAGAACGTCATGAAAAATACAACGACGGATTCAGATTCCTTGTAAAGAACAGCCCCAAGAATGTCCCACTCAGTAAAGTCCAAGTCACTTGGTTTTCGCTTGAAAAAATAAAAACAAAAATTTGAAATTTTCCGTTCTCTTCCAATAATTCAAAAATTGAAAATGACACATCAAATTTCTTGTAGATAAATGTCGATGAAAATCTACAACTTTGTCCTAATTTAACGGACCTCGTATTTCTTATAATCACCAAGATCCCTATATGGTTAAGCTCGAAAAACGGGACCCTGCATATTATCTACCTGCAATAAAATTAAGAAAATGATAGAAAAAAATCAACTATCGAATACCACACGAGAATTCGACAAATTGATAAATAGTTCTACAGATATTTCCTAAAACTTCATTTCATTTCCCAATAGGTTTTTGAAGATCTGTTGAAATATATTCCTTTTTTTCCACTCTTAATATTACTATGTAGATTTCACTACATAGGAGTAGATATACAGATTGTTTATCCTACAATATACTATACATCAATATGTATTTACATTTTGAAGTGTGTCAATTTCACCAGGAAATTATTGACTTCCAACAACAGTCTGATATCCAGTATTACAACACAAGAACCTCCACTTTTTGC